ATGGCGCCAAAATTGCAAGCTTGTATTGTTCGGTCCGGGCAAGTGAGCAGACATGTTTAGCCGAGGGTTCACCGCCGGTTTCCCGGCCCGGTCCCACTTCGACCGTCCTTTCAGCCGCTTTCGGCCGCGCTTCAAAGTCCAGGCGGTAGCGCAGCCGGCAAGCGAGCCGGCGCCGTGCCCGCCCCCCTTGCCGCAGGCCAAGGTTTTTTTCGCGTCGATGTTGCGAAAAGGGCAGCGTGAACAGCACTTTTGTTTTGCTTACTTCGCCCTGAACCCTGGAGGGTAAAGTCCTGAGTTCAAGTGTGGCTCCATTCTCCGTTTTTTTGGAAGACTTGCATTTCATTTGACGGCACCGGCACCCCCCTGGTTGTTTGGGGAGAGCTTGGGCAGCTATGTTGGGTTTGCAAACCAACCATGGACCATAGTTCATCACATTGCTTGTCAAATTGAATTAGTATGAAGCCAAGTTAAGTCAAACATTCCGAGCCCATCGTTCTGGCAACACCTACCTTCCCACCTGATGCACTACTCACTCCAAGTGTAGGGTCGGAATTGAAGGCCCACGCGTGCGAGAGAGAGAGAGAGAGAAGGAGAGTGAGTGAGAGTGTGTGTGTGTGTGTGTTCTGTGTGTGTGTTGTTTGTGTGTGTGTTGTCTGTGTGTGTGTGTGTGTTTGATTTCGGGGTACGATGCTTTCAGGGTGGTTCAAAGGCACACCTAAGGTCACTGCCCATTTGTGTGGCCCCTTACTTTTGACACGCCCACGTGAATTGAAGGGCGTTGTTTTTTTGGGGGGCCGGTGGTTCCGTGAGATTGCAGCTCAGGCGCCTACATCACTGGGCCCAAAGTGAAACCCTCCAAATTGTGATTGAAATAGACAAATGACCACAACAGTAATTTAGCTAGAGGGCAGCCTCAAAATGCAACCTTGGTAGCAGTAACAACCAACGCAAGGCGATCCAGGAGCTTGGGTCACATTTGAGGGCGGTAGCATTGCTCCAAGTGATTCTCCTGCGGCTGTAACCAGGGCCGCTACGGCCAAGCCATATGGCCACGAGTCATGACTCAGTGGTATTAACTTGAATGGGGCGCGCTTTGGTCGACATCATTCACGTCAGGATTGGTGTTCGCCAAACAGTTTTCAGGGTATAGCATAGCCATACTGTGAATGGACGAAATCCTGCACCACCTAAGAAACCCTGGAATGGTGATTCCCCTGTATCCACAGTATCCCTGGGCGCGCGCACTTGCATATTTTACCTTATTCAGTGATTCCGTGAACCTGCTTTCACTGATTTTGTCATTTTTAGTCTGGGTCCTTTGGGCAAGTGAGGGGACAGGCGTGGTTTTACACAGCAGAGTTGGGCGAATCGGTGCAGGTGCTGCGGCCCCAGCCGCCGTCTGAGCCATTTGTGGAGCTGACGCCTCTCTTGACGCGAGGCCCAGGCTCGGCGGGTGCCATGGTTATGTCTCAAAAAAGGGGGGAGCGCTTGCCCTTTTCGTTTTCCTTTGGCCAAACAGGGCTCCCAAGAACACCAGTGCGCTCTGGCTTTGCATTGCCCTGTAAGGAAGGGTGGAGGACCACCCCCATGCATGCGAAGTGTACCTTTAACTAAAAGTGGAAGGGTGCGCGCATTTTGCTGCCTATGTTATAGCTAGCGAGCTTAGCTCAGCTTTGAAGGCTCTTCTTTTGCATTGCCCCACCGCACGTATGCCTTGGATTATGGACAGGTAGATCAGATCTTTCTCCCAACTAAAGATGCAAAAGTGGCCGTGGATGCAGGTCCACTCCATCTACCAAGAAAATCCGCGATAAAGTGACTACCGCATCATGGAATTGGATGGCCGACATGGTATCAGTTTGTTGGTTGCGCTCAGGAAATCCGGCTCTCAGTGGCTCTCAGTTAAATTGCAGAGAAGGGTGGCGCATACCTCCGGAACAACTGGCTGAGCTGGGTGCCAGGCAGCCTATATGGCTATGGGTCAAAACCAATGGGATCCCATTTTGGGGTAGGTGAATTCACCACCCATTTTAGAACCTATTTTAGTGGGGGTTGGGATGTTCACTGGGGGCTACCCGATTTGGATTTTGACCCATGGCCATGTGGGGTGTGTCTTTTGCTTCCGTTTTTCCCAGACCCCCTTCAGCAAGCCATGCAGAGGCTCCATGGACAGCGACCTGTCACCCTCCACCTCGGAAGAGTCCCCGATGCGCCGGGACTTCACCATACCCCAGATCTCCGTCTGCTCGGTGGACGAGGCGGGAAGGTTTTTTCGGGAGCCGGCAGGGGGGATACTGTGCATGGTTGCGAAATCCTGCACCACGTTGAAACCATGGTTGAAGCCATAACGTTTGTTGGTATTTACAGGGGAGCATATCATTCTAGGGTTTCTTAGGTGGTGCAGGATTTAGTCCATCCACAGTATGTATTGGTTCGGAGTTTGGGCGTTCGGTGTTTCTTAAAAACAATATATGTGTATATATATATATATATGTACAAACACAAATAGGGGGAGGGGGAAAAGGCGGTAGGGCGTGGTGCAACCAAACTCATCCAAGGGCAAGCCTGGGCGCTACGATCCCAGTGCATCTCTTGTTGTTTTCTCCTTTGGGGAAGCATTTAGTTCTATTTTGGGGTAGTGCCACTTTTCGGCCAACTAAATCAAAGGGCTCTTCAAGTTTCCATGAGCATGTGGGAGCCAAGGAGCCACGGATGATTCAAACATGCAAGCAGAAAGAGCGCCAATTGCCACCTGGCAGCCAACTGGGAGTTTCTCCACATGGGCTGAGAGAAGCCAAAAGCAAGCCACCTAGATAGCCAAGTTGCTATTTTATTCAGTCACTGTTGCTGATTTTTGGGGTAAAGTGCATGAACAAAAACAGCAACCGGCGATCCAGGGCACCATTTTAGGGCGAGGACTTTCTGATTTTGAGGAAAGTCCCAGCTGATTCTTTGGGCGGAATCCGGTGCCTCTGCAAGGCGCCGCTGGCGCCCCTGCTGGCTGCGCCGGCATCGCCCGGGTCCAGACTGGACGTGGACTAGGTGCAACTCGTTGGCGTGGCTTGGCGCGGGGAAGCTCCGAGCTCGGTGGACGAGACGCCGACCTAGGGACTTTTCACTTGGGGATCCGAGTCTAATTTCAGCTTTTTGGAACTGCAAAACTTGCCGACGTATTTTTGGAACCAACTTGTTTCTCATGGAGAAACAAGGCTTGTCCTTGTGCCAACTACTCTGGATGCGCTAAATATTGCAAGTCAAGCAACCCCACCCAAGTCGATTGCAGCACAGCTAGACTTTCTTTGTTCCCAGAGCTCCTCTTGGCAGGTATGCCAAATTTGTCACAAGGTGGCAAGAAAGAGCACCTGAATGAACAGGTTTAACCTTTGGGCTGGTTGGGGGGAGATTTCTTCGGCCAAGTTACGAGGCTGTGAGGATGCACCGTCTACATGGAGTCTGCCCACGAGGGCTTCCAATTACCTGGAACGCCGAATTTTGAACCTGAAGCCCGTTAAGCAAAAGTGGGGGTCAAAGAACGAGTGGGGAGAAGCACCAGCACCTTGCTGGTGTTCAATTTGCTATGCTATGAAGGGGGTCCGCCTCACTGGTTTGCCAACAGGGATGTTGGATTCGGATTGATTGACATCCTCACCCTCTAAGTGATGCATGGAAGGGGGGGCGTACCGCCGATTTCTTGCGCTGCCGAGGTGTTGAGTTCCAAATGCTCGCGACCTAGACCTGTCAAAGCCTTTGAGAGGGCAAATCGGGTCCTACATTAAACGTAATGGGAGCCCGGGATTAATAAACCCTGGTTGATTACAAGGGGGTGGGGCTTTATCACTTGGGCTCATAATTTGCCGGGGTCAACATTGCATTTGCCACTCGGTGCCCAAAGGGAAAGCATCATTGGGATCCCCACGAAAAAGAATAACAACAACCTTCCATGAAGGGAGGCAGATGGATGGCAATTTGTGCAGAACCCTTGAACCAAAACCACCCAAAGTTTCTTTCAGTTCCTTTTGAAGACGACCAGATCTGGATCCGATCTTTCTTTGCTCGACGGGCCAGTCGCTCGCGCATCGCCAATCAGCGGGTGGGACCAGATCATGTCGCCTTGTGCTTTGTCTCAATCGAAATCAGCCATGGTCCCTGAAGAGTCTCCTCCGAAGTCAGCGCAGGTTTAAAGGTCGGAAAGTGCGCAGTTCTCCGCAGTTCTCCGCATGGGTTCAATCTCTACGCTCTCTTCATAGACCCTTTAAGCCCACGAAAGGTGATCGGCCGCTTGCTCAAGACCAAGCCAGCCACATTCCTGGGCCACCCAATGGGGGCCCCGCAAAAAAGTTGCTATTCCGGTTGGTGCCCTCTTCAAAACCAATCGCCCCAAAAAGGGAAGCCCAGTGTCTTGCATAGGAAACCCCAGTCGTTTTGCAACCGATCCAAGTCCCAGCCGCTCTTCTCGTGAAATTCGTGGTGCATGACACGGCCGACTTCGTCGTTTGCCGAAGCCGGTCTCTTTTCGCCAGGGGTCCCAAGGACACATTTTGGCGAAGGTAAAAATAAATACCCACCTTTACCGGCTGTTTCAAGCAAGGGTTCTACATGTTCCATGTGGTTTTTGGCTGTATCCTTTGAAGGGCCCTGTTTTCCTTGCTCTGCCAGAGGCAGCAAGCGCGCGATTTGCTGCGAAGCAGCGAGGGAGGTAGTCTATTGGTGCTTGGTCAGAAGAAAAAACAACACATTGTGCCTGAGCTTTCTGGGAATGGGTTTGCAACCCCGGCGCCGTGTGCTGTCCAGTTGTGCTTTCCAATTAATTAGGTTGGACCTTGCTGTCTGTTTTTCAGCACGTTGCTTTCTAGCAATGGAGCCACCGATGGAGGATGTGACTAAACCTTTCAACTTGTTGGCTTCCCATCGGCTTTTCTTGGATTCGGAGTTTTGGGGCAAATGAGCTGGCAATTGTCCCAGCCAGTTTTGAAGCAGCCAGCTGTCTTCGATGAATCGAGGCCATCGACCTTCATCCCGGGCGTCTTTTTCACCGGTAAGGCGGCTTTGCGTCCAGTTGGCCAGGGGGATACGACACCGCAAGTTGTGGCACAAGTCACGGTCTTCAAAGGTTTCATACCTATATATTTATATGTACACAATGTAGGTGTATATTCCCACACACTCCATGTTGGTCATATTTACTAGTATTCAAGTGTAGCCTCTCAGAGCAACATTCGGTATGTAGGCATAATTTGGCAACATTGGGCTTATCGGAATCTATGATTTGTCGGATGCCGTGATTGGGCGTGATTGGGCGTGATTGAGCGTGATTTGGCGTGATTGTCGGACTGAATTTATGCCAGTTTTGGCATACATTTGGGCCAAATGTATGCCAAATTTGGGGTACATTCATGTAATACCGTGATTTGGCGTGTTTTTGGCGTGATTTAATCGCAGGAAAATTGTCGAACGTGCATTTTTCGAACAACATTTTGGATGTATGCCTCTCAGAGCAACATTGGCCCTATAAACCCCAATGTTCCTTCTCAGGCCAACGTCCGCGAATGTTGGCAAAGAGCACCAACATTGGAGTGTCTGGGATTACTCATGTGTATGTATATGCAAATGATCATATTTTCAGAAGCCGCAAAAACCAACCACATTTGTCTTTAGGGGTGGTAGTGGAGGCCCTCGTTCCCAGAGCTTACCGCGCGGTAGGTATCACTACTCACTCCCCGAGTTCTTGGACTTCTTACGTTTTCGGGGAGACCGTCTTAGTGGCAACCAACAAGTAAGTGAATGCCGGGGGGCCTAGCATGCGACACCCATTTGGAGTAAGTGAGCTCCAGGATCTCGTCATTACCTCTTGAGATTGCTTGCTGATATGGACCCAAGGTTTCGGGCTCCTTGGGAGCGGATCTGACTCGCAACTTGGGTGTCCTGTTCGTCGCAAATGATTGACGGCAGGCCATCAATATTGCACATGTTTCCCAAACACGGAGTCCCAGACTCCATAGACCGTAGAGGTGATTTTTTGGGAAACCTGCTTTGGGATGGTGCAACATGATAGACAGAAGGAAACTACCCATTTTGGTGGTCCACCACTGTGAGACAAACAACGGTCAACGTTTATTGTCATCTACGGTAGTAAAGGGTGAACGTGTTTCGCGCTTTGGCCACTTGTAATGCCCATCTCCAATGTCCAGACATAAAGACCCCCATTTGGCCAAACCTCGCCATCCGGCTTCTTAGCTTCTTAGGTCCTTGTTGTGTTAGTCACTTTCGCGGGGGATCTGAAAACGGGCAGCCCAGTTGTCAAGTGGAAAGATCGCAGGAGTTCTCGGAGCTTCCAGCTGGCAATCGCTCCCCAAAACCCATGTTTGAAAGATTGGGCCAAAGGAGGGCACGACCTGGTTCGGACCATTTTCCCCTAGAGAGGCCCTCTTTCTGGTTTCGTCTATGCAACAAAAACAAGGCCTTAATTGACTCAATTGGCTCTGGGTTTGTCTTGTCTTCGGGGCACCCGTTTTGGGGTGGCTTTGCTGGAAAACTTTTTGACCCACAAAGCTCGGCTTAGTCCTTGCAGGGTTTCTTCAACTTGTTACTGGTAGTTCTCCCAGCAACAAGCATTTTGCCGGGAAACCCACCGGAAACCCCCAAAGTGCTGGAGCTCCGAGCCTGTGCAACAGGTTCTGACGCTGGGCCGCTCTGTGCGGGGCCTGCGGGTGGGTGAGCTGGTGCTGGGCATCGCAAAGACGGAGGCGACTTGGGCCTTCCGCGTTGCTTGCGTTGTTTTAGTGCTATCACCGTCTGCACATATATATATATATATATATCTATATATATATATATGTGTGTGTGTGTGTGTGCGTGTTTGTGTGCTTGTATGTTCGTTCGTACGTTTGTTTGTTCGTTTGTTTGTTTGGTTGGTTTGATTTGGCTGGCTGGCTGGCTGGCTGGTTGGTTGGTTGGTTGGTTGGTCGGTTGACTGGCTGGCTAGCTGGCTGGCTGGCTGGCTGGCTGGCTGGTTGGTTGGTTGGTTGGTTGGTTGGTTGGTTGGTCCGTTGAACGGTTGAACGGTTGAACGGTTGAACGGTTGAACGGTTGAACGGTTGAACGGTTGAACGGTTGAACGGTTGAACGGTTGGTTGGCTGGTTGGCTGGTTGGCTGGTTCGCTGGTTGGCTGGTTGGTTTGGTTGTTCGCTTGTTGTTTTCCGAGGCGGTTGGGTTAGTTGCTCGTTTATTGGGAGTTGGTGTGGTTTCGTTGTGTGGCGTGTGGGGACTGTGTTTCTTGACGTTGGTGGGTGTTGCAGAGATTTTTTGGCCATACTATGTTAGACAGTGATTGGTGTGTTGTTTGCATACAGAGGCATGGTGGTATTGATTGTTCGCGAACATGTTGATGCTCTGTTGGTGCGCTTGCTGTGCTGGTGTGTTGCACCAGGCTTACAACATGGTTCTTTGCAGGTCTTGTGTTTGTTGTTTGCCCCTTTGACCCACGTTTTGTTATAAATAGATATATATATATACACATATATATAAATATACATAGGCATGCTTTTGTGTGTGCACAAATGCATTTGTCTCTTTGGGACCCGGTCGGATGCGTAGGGAGATGAGCCTGGTGGCTGCTACCGCGAGACAGTGTGTGCGCGCCTGAGAGACAGTGTATGCAATGGGTATGAAACGGGTAGGTGGTCCAAACGACCTTTTGGGTATGAAGCAGGAAGATCCCCAAGCATGGATTTCGGACCATCTTTTGTGTTTTGTTCTGCTTTGGCGGGGGGGTCCTTTGAACTTCTGAGCCACTGTGGAAAAGAGTGCCCCCCCCCTCCCCCCGCCAAAAAAGAAAGCAAGCAAGCACGCACAAGCAAACACACACTCTCACACACACTCTCACACACACACACACCCACACCCACACCCACACACCCACACACCCACACACCCACACACCCACACACCCACACACCCACACACCCACGCGCGCGTGCGGGCGGGGCGGGCGCGGGCAGGTTGGGCAGTCACGAGAAGTGCGAAATGATCCATTTGCGTATATCAACTCGAGCTCACGGTGAAGCGAACGAAGGGCACGATGTAGTCCTTCCCTTTTTCAGTTATTTTTATTATTATTATTATGCTTTTGGCTTTGCAGATCCACATTCGTTTGCCCGAATGAGAGTGCAACGAGGATCTCTACATCAAGGTTCATTCAACATGGGCCATCAAACATGCTTTCAAAGTAGACAAGGGGAAACTTGTTTTCCAGGCCCACAATTGGATAAAGCATATTTCCCTACAAAAGCGACACCCTTCGAGGGCGACCCCCCTTTCACATCAACCAGTGCCAATTCTCCATAGCCACTGGGTAAGCAAGTGTGTACTATTGATATATGCGTTGATTTTTTAGGGGCCCGGCATGGATTGTGATGGACACCTCCTGCAGCATAAACACCCCCCCTCCCAAAGGTCACCTCAAGTTCCTCCCTCTGAAGTAGCTTAAAAGTTGCCTTTCAGCGACCTCTAAACAGCATTATCAGTGCTATTAGCATCCCCTAAACTTGCGTTCGGGAGCAACAAAGAGCCAACGGCACTTCACCCCAACATCAGGGGTGTCGCTGGTTCCCCTGCTTGCAATTCTTAGGGCGTCCACCGCAATCAGAGCACATACGTGAAAAAGGTGCAAAGTCTGCAAGTTTGAGACAGTTGTCCGGCAGCTATCTAACTTAGGCTTTCTTTATCACTTGTGTTGGCATTGGAAGGCTTTTCACAAGCTTCCTCGGTTGTGTGGGATTTGGTTCGCCACAGGTTGCGATGGCCTTTGCCCAAAGCGGCACCACCTCAAACCTCGAGGAGCCTAGACTGCCTTACTCCCTCAATACTCCTTTGGACAACCCAACAACTACACAACAATAAACAACTTCCTCCAACTTCCCATCAACAACAACATCTGCTGGCGAGCCCCGTCTGACGCCACAGGCGCCCACTTCTCAACTCTGCTGCCGCTGGAGGGGCTCGCGCAGGGCTCAGCTGGGTGCTCTATGGTCTCGCAACTCTTGCGGTACCCAAAACAGGGCGAGGGACGCATCTAAGGCACATGCTTGTTGGTCAGGGTAAGGCCTGAAACGCGCGAGTGCACATGCTCGAACACACTGCTGGCAAGCGGAAGTGCGCATTGCCGGACGGAGGTACAAAAGGGAGACTGGCTTGCATATGAGCCAGTCATTTGCACGATAGATTTCTGAAAGGGCATATGGAGCTTAACCGCCCCATTTCAAGGCAACATGGTTTGAGGATTCGCAACTGTATTGTTTTCTTTTGGACCGAAAGGACCTAATGGGAGCCCTGTTTCTGTTTGAGACAAACCTGTTTCCTTTCAGGTCAAGGTTTGCGTCGCACTTGTGGCATGTTAGGAGTTGGCGTGCCATGGCGAGCGCCACTGCTCTGAGAGCAGTTCCAGCAAGGCAAGTTCCAGCTCCTCTGAGAGCACTGATGCCGAGTGCAGCGGGGCCGGGGCAGGTGACCCATGACTGATTGCGGCGCAGCCAAGTCTGCGAGGGGCGCTTAGGACGTCCGCTCATGTTGAGCGGGCGGGGCGGCGGTGCGCCAACATGTATTGTTGGCGACGCGCTGGCATGCTGCCGGCGGGCGCAAGTCATGTTGAATTGCGGATGCCCTTTGCCAGCTCGTGGTGAGCTTATGAGTTTACCGACAGGTATTGTTGACATGGTCCGTGGCGCCGACGCTGTCAGCTGCTAGCTCACAAGCTGTTTACTGTCTTGGCTGTTTTGTTCGGTGGCGCTTACCTCGTGCCATGCCTCTGCAGACCGCTGCCGCGGCAAAAACGGCTTCGTCCGACTTGAAGTTCATCTTTCTGAAGTTGGCGTCAGATGGCGCTGTTTCACAAGGGCTTCGTCACATTGCGCTTGTTTGCGGGTCTGAACAAGTCTCGAATCAAGGTTCGCAAGGCCCTGGCAGCAGAGATCGGCATGCATGATGCGACACTGCGTCCCGCCAGTCAGTGGCCTTGTTTCTGGCAGCGTGGGGGTCCTCTCGCCTGCAGCTAGAGAAGGAAGACAAGCCATTCCCAGCCGGTGTTGCAGGGCTCGGCCATGGCAGCCATGCGTAAAGAAGTTGAGAGCGTGCCTGCTTGACTGTGAAATCCCGGCCAAGTCCGTGGTGGCGGCAAAGCTTGACTTGAGTAGATCAAGCAGAACGACCTGCGCGTGGAAGATTTGCGTGAGATCCTGTGCTTGGAAATTAGCAAAGACCCGGGCATCATTGAGCACGGAACAGGGAATCTGCGCATTCGCCCGGGGAAGGCGAGCGTGGCGTTTCCCTGCGGAAGAGCTGCGGCAACGCCACCGGCTCATTGCAGTTGCTTGGTTGATGGGCCGCAGCAGACACAAGGACTGCTCTTGGCTTTGGCGGACATGTTGGATGCTTTCCGGCGGTTCTCGGATCACATCCTTGGGAAGCACATCGCTGGTTGCCCTTTGATGGTGCAGGGGGTGGTGCGCCAGCCGGCGTGCAAGTTGGCCTTGTCTTACGAGCAGGAGACTCGTAGGCGGGCGTAATTTGTCCGGTGGCCTGGGCTCCGCCTGCAGATCGCCCGAGCTGCTCAACCTCGATTTTCTCACCGTTGACAACTTCAGCAGAGCACATGTCATCGTCGCTGGCTGACAACCACGACACATGGTCGTGGCGCTTGCAACAGCGCAAAAGCGACGGCAAGGCCTCTCAGAAGGGCGCGCTGAAGACCAAAAACGTCGGCTGGCTTGAAGATCTGTTTTCGCTTCAACAATGGGAAGTGCAATGGCAACTGCGGCTATGAGCATGTGTGTCAGATCTGCCTCCGTGCCGGCCATCAAGAGGGGCGACGCGTCTTTCGGTTGAACACTGTCGGCACGCTTGGCATCGCCAGCATCGCTGCCCACTGGTCTCGCTTGATGGGTGGATTGCAGCGTTCAGTGTTCTATCTCTTGCGGAAGAAAGCCGTTTTCATCCTGACGTACGTAGACGACCTGCTTTGGCTTGCGGGGGGCAGGCAGATTCAGTGGAAGTTGCAATGTTGTTCTTGGCAGCCTTGGGTGTGCCATTTGCGTGGAGGAAGTGCAGCGGGGGCGCTTGCGTCAGTTGGGGATCAGTGTTGACGGGGTGGACGAAACGTGTTCTGGCGGAAGGCAAAGTCAACATGTCTGATTTTACTTCAGTGCTTGGGCGGTTGAGCTTTGCCTTTGCAGCGCTCGAGCCTTTGTCGCCATTCTTGGGCCGCTGGGCCGCGGCAGCGTCGATTCGGTTGGAGTTGCCTTAGGTTGCTTTCTTTTTGCATTCTTGGCGAGCATGCTTGAGAAGTGGCACCATACAGATCTGCGCCCGTCAAAGGACTCTAGACTGAGCCTCGCTTGGCGGAACCAAAAGACACCGTTTGTAAGGGAGTCTGCTTCACGGTTTTGCAACCGCGGTGCCCACTCAAGTTGTCCCATCACGCAAGCGCTGCCCAAGTTGTCTGTGGCCGCTGAGCACACCACGCTTCCGGACTCATCGCTGCCCAGCCCAAAGCAGACTATCCCCGCCAGCGTGGCCAGCATTTCTAGAGAAGCGATGGCACGAAACGGCTCCCCAGCCATGAAAGCCCAAGGCGCATTCTCTCGAGTCAACTGCTCGCTGAACTAGCGGCACTGGCTCGGGCCGTCGGGCAGTCGCTGCCCATGACTGCCCTGCCCACAATTGTGACCTCCTCTCCATCAGCTTTCGCGTCTGTTCCAAACAAGTCCCGCCGCGATCTCAAATGCACCAGCAAGCGGAAAAGGAGCAGCGGGCGCTTGAGGCAGCGTGAACCTTGGGTGTGAGCACTTGCAGGCCCAAGTCTGCGCGAGTGCGCGATATTGGCAAGGGTCGCCTGGGTAGTTGGTGCGCGCCCATGCTGGGTTTTGGCATGTGCTATATATATGCCTTCGCCAGTTGGCAAATGTTATGCCTAATTACTTGGTCAGATCGCGTTACCCACTCGTGAAAAGATGAGCGCCTGCCGCTTCCCATGTTTCGTATTGCATCATGCACAGCACGCACAGTCCCGTGTAGTGGACCATGGCCCATCGAAAGGGGACTGCACGCGCGGGGCTTGTACTTGCTTGCGTTCGCCGGGCGCGTGTGGCGCTCTCACGTTTGCTTGTTTGCTTTGCAGTTGGATGATTTCTCCTTTGCTCGCAGCCAGCTTTGCATCGCACTTGTGACATGTTCGGGGCTTCGCTCCAGGTTCGCGTGCCCCACCCTCTGCCACCCAACGGCACGCGAGGGTTCTGCTTTGGCCAGTTGGCATATGTTCTGTCCACTTTGTCAGATCTCGGTACCCACTCGTGAGAAAAGATGAGCGCCTGCTGCTTCCCATGTTCGTATTGCATCATGCACAGCACGCACAGTCCCTCAACAGCTCCCTTTGACGGGCACATGGTTTGAGGATTCGCAACTGTATTTTTTCATCTGGGGTTAGTCCGAAAAGGCTCAATGGGAGCCCTGGTTTTGTTCGGGACAAACCTGTTTCCATTCAGGTCATAGCGCAGTTCGGCGCCGAACTGCGCTCGAATATTCCAAGAATAGCATCACCTCTTTGGAACCCTTGCGTTTGTCCATGTCAAAAATCACCTCCAGAGGAAAGCCATGCGTCCTTTTTAGTTGTTTTGGTAGAAAAATAGATGGCCCTGGTATACCTGGCTGGTGGTTTAATCATCCACCAGGGCCATCAGTTTCCTCTAAAGGGACACAAAGCTGCGGCTCCCCCAGTCGATGTCTGAGGTGGAGGCCAAGCTTCAGCCGGCCACTGTGCTGGCGCACGTGCCGCCGATGATCAGCGCCCCGGCGTTTATAAATAGGGAGCTGGGCTCCGCATATGTCGTGGACGGTTGCGAAATCCATTTCGCACCACGAAATGAAACCACGATTGAAAGCATACCGTTTGTGGGTATTCGCGTTGGGGACTCGAATCGTTCCAGGGTTTCTTGCGCGGTGCGAAATGGACTTCGCAACCATCCACGGTATCTTGTGCTTGGATTGAAGCATCACTTGAGGTGAGATTTCAGTTGCGTGGTCCAGGAAATATGGGGAGCCCTGAGAAACCGCCCATCCCCTTCAATTTTTTCCGCAAAGCCCAAGGAAGGCACCCAGCTGTCTCCCTGACGCTAAGTAGTGCATGGTGGAGAGGGGGGTATTCGGACATGTTCCTTCCCCATGAACAAAAGGAATTAAGACATCTATAGAGCAGGGGCCCTGGAGATCTCAAATAGGTCCCTTCGGGTTTCAGGACCTTGTAAACCGGTTTTAGTTTGGTGTGAGGCTATCTTGCAGAACATGTTTTCATGTTTACCTTACATTCCTTCTGCACTGATAGCAACCTCAGCGATTTGGGGCGAAAACGAGCTCACCCAGAAAAGTATTACTTGGGCTTTCCAACTTTCTCTTGATGGTACTCTCGTGCATGCAGATGTGGAAGCTGCAAAAAATCGTCGTTTTGGAGAGTCTCTCCTGTCCCGTTTGTGGGTTCCACGTCAATGTTCTAGGGGTAACTTTCCCATTCTTTCCAGGGATCCTTCTTTACCCCAAAAAAATCAGGGAATTGGCGATCAGTTTTTGAAAAGAAGGATGGCTGAAAAGAATGGACAAGGAATCAACCCCTAGAAATCTGCGGACGAAGGTTGGATCCTTTTGAGAGCCACGGCTCAGGCGCGCTCACCTGCATCGCCTCGCACTTGCGTCTTCAACCCTCGCAGGCGCTTTGTTTTGTTTCTCGCGGCTTGCTCGGTGATGGCCAGCTGGGCATGTCCCGGGGTCTGTAGACTAAGTCCCCCAGTAGTGCCCTTCTCTCCGCTTTTTTGGGGGAGGGTTGCCCTACCAAAATAGACTACCAGAAAAAGGGTACCCTTATTCTAACCTCTCTACAGGAGGACCTAGTCGATGGGTCCAACACGCTGTGGATGGTTGCGAAATCCATGTCGCACCACGAAATGAAACCATGGTTGAAACCATAACGTTCGTTGGCATTTACGGGGGGAATCGAATCATTCTAGGGTTTCTTGGGTGGTGCGAAATGGATTTCGCCCATCCACAGTATTTGGCACACTTGCCTTCTTGTTGTTTGGACGTATTTCACTTACTGGTAAACCACAATCACAGAACATATCACTAGACGGCCTACAGCAACATCTACCCCACTTTACCTTGAGTACCCCGCCTTCCCTGCCTGCAAGCATGGGTGTATGCACTACTTTTTTGACCAATTACAAGTTGGCCTCTCCAGTCTTGAGGTTGGTTTCACGGCAAAGCCAGGAGGGCACCCCACCCGTTTGGCGGATTCCCCTATGTAGAGACATACCCCACATTTCCGTGTTCAACCCTTAACATCATCTGTATTGGCTGCCGCGTTTCAGTGAGTTTCCTGGGTGGAGTGTTGTTTCAAGGGGTGGAAATGTAGGAAGCCGGGGAAATTTAGGGAGCCGGGGGAAACGTAGGGAGCCCTGTGTCACCAGGGACGCTTTGGGAGTGGCTTCAAGTACATACCACGATTTCCGGTAGATGCGGTAAATAGAGTGGATTACCAGTCCAACAGGGGCAAACGCGCCATCTGCTTCATTTCTAGTCCACTTCGTGGGGTCTTTGCTTGGCCGGGAGGGTGACCTTCCTCAAGAGGGACATGCTTTGGGCCAGATTTCTGTGGCAGGGGCAGATGAGAAGTTCCAACTAGACGACTCCACATGAGACATATAGATGGACCTGTAAAGTGCTTGAGTCTAAGGCTATTGCAAGTTGCTTGTCGTTGCCAGGCATTTCTGCTTATCGCACCTCGGCTCAACGATGTGATCTTCATCCTGCAGCGATTGCTGATCAGTTTGGGCCTCAGGCTGTCACTCGCTCGCCTTGATTCATTGGCTGGTTTCCTCAGGTTACGTTTAAAGCAACCCTATGCAACCCCATGAAGGGTACCCTTAAACCACGACAAGCCCATGTGTCTACAAATTGGGCACCGGAAGTGTCCTTTTAGGTCAGTCTAGTTGAACATAGATGGCATTTGTGGGATGCCACTCGGGAGAGAGACCGTTTGTTAGGTGCCAATGTGGAGTAAAGCACATTTTTTGTAGCCTCGAAATTGAACATGGGAGGGGGGCACTGTTGGTCCTTTCAGTCCATAGAGCCTTTCTTCGCCGTGCTTGTGGCCAATGCGTTGGTCCCATTTAAGTTCAGTTTCCCTAATTCTTTTTGCGGGTACCTTGTTTTGTAGTTTTGAACGCAAAGCAAAAGGAGCACCATTTAGGCTTGGGGGGGTCCCTTAAAAAAAACAAAAGAGACACACTCGATGGGCCCCCCCCAAGAAAGGGACACTCGATGGCGAAGCCTCAAGTGACGGGGTTCAAAACAAAACACGGGGCCCTTCGCTCAGGCGAGTCCTGGCAGGGGCCGCTGTACTTGCTGCTCCTCACCGGCCCTGCGCTGCGCAGGGAGGATTTGGAGTTCCCGGCTCGGACGTTTTTTTTCGTGTTTTTTCCCCGCGGGGACGTCGCCGGGGAAAGACAACGAACCCTTTGATGGGTTGGTCATGGCTGAATACCGGTCATAACATAAAATAATAAACCAAGCATGGTGTAGGTCTTTTTCTTGGGGATTTCTTTTCCAGTTCTTGGAAGGATTGCAGAAAGCACAGATGTGTGTCGCTCTTTGATCCTTTCTGCCTTTGTTTTTGCATGCGGCCGAGTGCACCTGAGGCCACCAAACAGGAAACGCTCTTCGGAAGATTGGAACAGACGTCCCCCGCGCAGTTGCCGAGTCCACACAAGAAGGGGGGGGGCGTCCCGGCGTCCCGGCGTCCCGGCGTCATTTTCCCGGGCTGAGTGTTTGCGATGTTTCGTGGGCATACAATGGAGGTAAATCGAGCGACCAATGAAGGTCCCGGGAATTCCCGGATCTGGACCACGGAAGAGGAGCTTCCTGCGAGGTCGCTTCCAGATTCTGAGACAACCAAAGGCCCCCGACTCCGACTTGAGAAAGACATCGGCTCTGACCAAAGAAACTATCATCGAACCTTGGGGTCCTGAATTGGCTGTGGAACACGGAGGTCTTAGTCGCCACTGTTTGCTCTTTGGGCTTTAGGTATCACATCGCGTTTTCCACGCCCGAGTTTGAACCTTCTTCAAAGTGAATCCAAAAGGAAAGTCGCCACTCTCGTACCTTGGATGACCCTTCAAAAATGGGGTCAATACCCTAAATAATGGGGTCAGAAGGAGACTCCAGGTAGGTGGTTCACCTCAGCAGGTTTTCCCGTCCATCCCGGCTTGGCGCCTAGGCGCCACGTGGCACTGCAGCCCCTGCTCTCCGGTGGCGTGCTGGAAGGCCGATGGACATGTCCCAAACCCTTCCAGTGCCCACAGGTAATGTGTCCAACTCCCTTTAGGATTAACCAAGCAATTGCGGTGCTTCTTTCCCATGGCCACTAGGGGTTTGGGTGTGCATGGCCCATATCTTGAGAAAAAAACATGTTTGGCTAAGGTCTCCCGAAAGTTGTTCTGCAAACTCACGCACTCGGAAAGTAATGCTGGCTTTCTGAAAAGTACCCCGGGCAGGGTTCGAGAGGATATCCCTCTTTCAGGCAGCTTCAGGTGCCACTTTGGGAGGGAGGGGCAGATGGTCGCAGTTTTCAAAGTGGCCTTTATGTGTTTTGCATGCCAATATCATTTTGGTTGGTTTCAGGCTGCTACTTGTGCAGCTGCGTGCAACACCATGTGGTAGCTGGCGACGGCCTCCAGTACAACAATTCATGTTTTCTGGTTTTTTGGAGGCGGGCAAAGATGGAAATTGACTTCGCAACCAGATGCTCTTGTTTCCCATGACCTCCGGGGGCAAATGGGAATGCCTTTCCTTTTCAAGCAGACTTGCTTCTTGTAGATAGCAGGCGCAAGGTGTATTTCACTGATCCTTCAAGCCTGTTGGTTCTGGTATTGTTGCTCTCTTTGGTGGATTCTGCACGAACAAGGGTCCACCAAATCACTGCTAACTCTTTTCAACTTTGCGTCGGATCACTGGGAACCGGTAGACGCTCCTATTTCGTGTGTGCAAGCGTGCCAGGGTCAAAGAACTTTCTGCATGACATGATGGGCTTCTCAGTTGAGGACGCCCGGAGGGGGGGTTGACTGCGCAGTTGCCATTCAGACCACGGGAGTGAATGCAGGCGCCAAATAGGACCAAACGTGTAGTAGTCACTGGCGCCACCATGGTCCACTAGGCCTTTCATTGAATACCAGTTTGCGCTTGTTAAGCAAAGGTCCATATCCGGCAACATTCATTGGGGATGGACCCAATCCATTTTGATTGTGTGTTATCACGTAGCAGACACGCAAACTCAATAGAAACATGTTAAACAACAAGCAAGTATTTGTTTTTCTTGAAAACAAAGAAAGGATTAATCAACCCAATCAACAACCCGGTTTTGATTAAACGCCCTTCTCAGGTCCTCCCGATCTTTCTATCACCGCTTTTATCCCTGCGGCCTGCCGGCTGCAGGGAGTTCGTATTACTCTCCTACAAATTTCATGGCGGATCATGGACAGAACCCAGACCAGGGGTCCGGTTTCCCCCAAAAACGCCTCTCCGATGCTACAAATGGAGGCTGCCTTTTTTTGTAGGGGAGTTTTTGCGACCGGCCTTTTCGTGCGGTGCATTCGCTGGGCACCTCGTTTTCCGGGTTTTTGTCCAGGAGCACATGGACAGCTTCGCAAGCTCCGAGGCAGTGCTGGAGGAGTTGGTGGCCAAGGCGAATCCGATCTGCGAGCTCCGGAGTGGACGTGGCTACCTTTGGTTGAGTCCAAGCAACCAACCAATTCTCCCGTTGAAGCTAGAACCGAATTGGCGGAGGTTGTTGAAACAATGCTGGCGTGAGGGGTTTTCAGAACTTCTTGATTACAACATGGTCTCTGTGGTAACTCTGCTCATGCTGTTTGATTTCGTTTGGCCCTGACACTTTTTGCCAGCTGTAAAGAAGAGGGTAGCGTAAAGGGCCAGGCAAGGGAAGTGTCATTTGATCATTTACAAGAATTTATGTTCGAGTTCCACCCGTTTTGGGCAGGTGCATGGCCATACGGGTGGCGTGGGCGTGGATGTGATCCTCGCACTGGATGTGGATTTGGGCCCTGAGGAGACCAGACGCAGAGAGAGAAAGAGAGAGAGAGAGAGAGAGACGTAAGAAGAGTCCTGGGATCAGAGTCTCAGAGGGCAAGCAGCTGAGCCCTGAGATGGCTCATCCCAGCCGCTGAAAGTCACCCGAATATTGTTCTTCTGTTTTTATTCCCGGTCATTGCTAGAGAATGAATTGACCATTTACGCTGCTATTGGCTTGGAAATGTGTGCAACATCAGTGCTGTTTTTTTTGGAATTTATTACCACATGCGACAGCTGTTTCTGCGTGTTGCGATTGTGCAGCCTTGTATGAGATTCTGCTTGATTGCTCGGGGTGCGTTCGTTTTTGTTTGCCTCGTTTATTGATTTCCTTAAAGTCGTCTTCCAACACTCGGCGCGCATTCCAACACAGTTTATGCTCGACGCTTGATTTTAGTCAAGTAGATGCAAGTTTCAGCTGCCTAAAACGCCCTCTTGTCAGCGTTCCCAGCTCGCTTTGGACGGCCCGATATGGCCCGATGGATTCAAACGAAAAACAGAAAGTGAATGAGAAATTAAACACGGAAACAGTGGTGGAAATCACACCCAGTTTTGCATCTTCGGACAAGCAAGTAATTGTTGCGGAGTACAGCTACTCTTCGGGTCGGACACCGCAGGGAAGCCGCACAGGAGGTTATTTCAGGAACGAGTGGGCTTGAAACCTGTTTGCAGCCGGTTCCATTCTGATCCTGTCCTTGGCCCCCTGGTTCTGCGTACTCTTTAGGCAGAGCTCCTTAAAAGATACATTTTGCCCATTGGAAACATTGCTTTTTCCACCAAAATGAAGGGCGCCCACCATGTACAAGGCAATATTCAGGTGTATAATGTAAGGATCCCTGCGAAGAGAACGTGGCATGGTGTACATCGGACCGGCGAAACCGCTCTGGTTGCATCTGTCCCGACCCATTAGATGCTCATGGTTGTCGTTGGGGCACATTTTACCTTTTTGCTTGTGGTTTAGTGGTTGAAATCCAACCACTTACCTGCTAAAATCTAAATTTTTGCTCCCCTTCCCACGTCGACTATGGCAGTGAAGTTCTCCCGGGTGATTTGAGGTCTCTGTCCCTGTAATTAGGCGGCATTGGTTTGCAGCATACATTTGCCAGGTGGCTTGGAAGGAGCATCCCGAAACCGGTCGGATACAAGGCAGCCGTTTGCCCCAGGCTTTGCATTCCCAGAGGTTTTTGGGGCTTTCAATGGAGGAGCCCCTCCGTTGGACACCCCAGAAGTGGTTGGGGTCTCAAAGCCTTGTTTGAAGGCCCGAAATCCATCGAATTGGAGCCTCTGGGCTTGGAGACTATTTTTTGGGATTGGCCGTGAGTTTGTGCGCCTCTGTGGCCAAGGCAAGTCCTCCCTCACTCGACGAAACAGAGCTGTGAAGTTGACGTCCCAGGGATGGAGGGTTCTAGTGAAATGCACCCCGAAGAAGCTTCCCCAAGGCTCAATCGTTTGTTGGCGTTCCACGTTCATTGGCAGGGGCATGTGGATGTATGTATGGCATTTAAGCTTATTGTTATACTGAGTTATACTGGTTTCTATATCCAGATGCAGGCGGATTGGGGCTGTTTGTTTGACATCCTGGTTGCTTATGACACCCACCGCCGTGTTCGCCAGGACCGGCAAGTGGACACTGCAGACTTGGATGCGGCTTGTGTGGCGCAGTACCCGGAGTCGTCCGGATGCGGAGGTCATTCGGGCTCAGCCCTTAAAGGATTGGTGAGCCCAAGTGTTGTATGTTTTATGACTTCCCCACCAATAATCGTGAACCCAAAAACAAGGCCCCTGCTTTTGCCCTCGCTGCACAGATGAGGGGAAAGTAGATGGCACAATGCGCCAATTTTGTTTGATCATCCCGGCTTCCCCAGACAAAGGGACTGATGGAAGCTGTGCCATCTACTTTCACCCTTGTGTAAGGCAAAACAAACATTTTCAGCGGTTCTCAAGTCTTCGTTCAGGGATTTTGTTCTCGTTTGGTTGGTTTTTGTTGGGACCATCAGCAAGAAGACCATTTGGAGGATGTCACTTTACAAGTCAGGGTGGATCACCAGGCAGTGAAGAGGCGAAATGAACGCTGCTAGTCAAAAGGTTCCAATGACTTCAACCAAATGGCTCCTGACTGACAATCCTAGAAATTCCAAGTACTTCGTGAGGATGGCTTTTCGGGGGTAAAAAGGGGTCTAAATACCTCCTTAGAAGGTACCAAGGGAGCCTCTGGGTATGAAGTCTGATTTTGAACGAACTTGTGTGAAGGCGCTGGGCAAGCGCTTTCTTATGGCTGGGTCTATGATAATGAAGAGGTGTTTTCCAAGGAAGCCAAGGAATCGAATCCACACAAAGGGTCCCAACCAATCCAAGCCGACAAGCGTGGCCCTCAGACAGAAAGCCCCGTGGTTTTTGCCAGACCCCCCCCCCCTTTCCAGGATAGCTTGGTCCAAAAGAGGGATAGCTTGGCACCAGCCCCCCCCGTTCCGGGATACCTCACGTGGCTTTCCACCGGCGGGCAACTTGAGCTCGACGCCTTGAGCTCAGGCCCTGGAGCCGGTGGCGAAAAGGAGGGCGCTGCTGCGGAGCATGGTGAGCGCCTGGGGGCCCAGGGGGCCCATGGAAATCCACGGAGCTTGCGCGGATTCGCGCGCGAGTCCGGTCGAAGCGCCGTGGTGCTGGTGCGATGAGCAGGGAATGAGTTCAAGTGAGCCCTACAAATCAATCCGATGGCTTGCTTTAAGGGGATCCCTACAACCGGTTTGTTCCCAACACCCGGAAGGTCCTTCCCTAGTGAGCACCAGCAAGAATAGGGGACCTGAAGCAATCCGAAGAAATGGTGGCAGTCATCCCAAAGTGAAACAAAGAGTACGCGCAAAAATTGAGCGGCACCTCCCTGCGTGACATTGTCAAACGACCAACTTGGAGCTATGGTGTTTAACATGAGCATGTAATTTCAACAGCAAACATATCCCCCAGTGAGCCATGGCCATGACGCTTTGCAAAGAGATTCGGTGCCCGATTCTTTGGCCTGGATGTGACCCTCTTCAGAGAGCCATGAGGCAACCAGCAACCAAACGGAGAGGAGAGACAAGCGTGTGCATCCTCTACATCTTGCCACTCGAATTGCTTTGGGGCCAAGGACAGAAGCATTCTTTCTGAAAGGGAACCAAAAGAGCAATGAAAGTCTGGCATTAGACCCCCTACTTTTCTGCCTGCTCATGAGTTGGTAGGGTAAAGCCAGGTCAGCCTCTTCTATCCCCCAACTACCCAGCAGCTGGCTTGTCTCTATGACTGGAGGAGCAGTACGAGGGAAGATTCCCTATTTGTTGATGGCTTCCCTTGATCAACCATCAGGCGGCCCAGTTTGGGTTACGCATTGTGCGTGGTAGCTCAGCTAATCCCTCGGTTTGGGGAGCGAATCCTGGGTTAGAGGGTAACTGTGGTTTCCCGCCCCGGAACACCTCCAAACCATGCAACCAAGAGAAAAATGGATTAATACGTAAGGTGGGGATACCCAAAAAGTTCCCAAGCTCCACTCCCAAATACCCAAGCTGTTTCAACCCACCACTGGCCCCCTGGATGTTTTTGCATGCGCAGGCGCTCGCCCTGGGTGGCCGCCTGGTGACCAATCGAGGGCCCGGCCCCGAGTCACTCTCTGAGTTCCTGGGACTCATAACCCCTTGGGACCAGTTGGGCGGGGCTCAAAATTTCTACGCAGGTCTTGGTCTGCGAGTTTCCATGCGAGGGGCCAACCATGGGCTCCACTTCTTTGAGCCACAGCCAACGTAGTGGCACGACCCAGAAGGTGTGGTTCCTCCTTGTGTCTTCTTCCTTTTTTCGGCCAGTCCACTCAAGACAGATGAAGAAACACGGCCCAAAAAGGGGCCTGTCACCCAATGATGAAACCCCACAACAAAAAAACACACACAGACACACAGACACACACAGACACACACAGACACACACAGACACACACAGACACACAGACACACACACACACCAGTCAAAATCAATTGAAGGTTTAGACTTCTCTGGGTTTCCAGCATTTGGTGTGGGGGTTCAACGCTTCGGGTGTCAAAAAGGCATGGTGGGGCGGTTTGGAACCCTTCTGGAAGCCTCTGAAAGCTCCGAACCGCAGAGCCATGCACATAGACCCACATAGCTTTTGGCTGGAGGAAAGATGTTACCAGGTTGGGGGGTATTCCCTGCTGTGGATGGACGAAATCCATTTCGCACCACCCAAGAAACCCTAGAATGGTGATTCCCCTGTAAATACCAACGAACCAGGTTTCCCATGGTTTCAAACGTGGTGCAGGGTTTCGTCCATCCACAGTAGTCTGGGTATTTGCGGGCAGATTCCATGGTCCATTTGGACTTTGGAGCGACTGTGGGACTCAACTCAACCTGGCAATTCCGGACAGAACCAGGGGCAGTTCCCCCAATTCCGCACGGACTGTAAAATAATGGGCAGGCCAGGTTGGTTCAAGGAACCGCAGATGGCTATGAGTTTTAAGCGTCCGAACTCCCTCAACAGTGGTTGGACATAGATGCCCACCTGTCCACCAAAAGGTCTCCAGTTCAAATTGATACCCATATCGCCGGGTTCTAGTCAGAAAGATGGTGCCTTGAAGGATTCTGGTCTTATACTCTTGCGATTCTAGACGTAACGGGGTAAGATGTCTGGGACACCCAAGAACCCAAAAATGATGATTCCCCTGTAAATACCAACAAGCGTTGTGGTTTCAACCATGGTTTCAAAGTGCTGCGAAATGGATTTGGGGGAGCGGATGACTTTTTTGGCTGTTTGACAGATAGATGCCACTGGTTTCAGCTTGAAGCATTTGCCTGGCCCCAAACACTTCAAGGACACCTAGGGTGCTCAATATTTCCTTTTTGGTGGCTATAGGCAGTACTCTGTGAGGGAAATTCTTTGGTTCAACCCAAAACCAACAGAAGGATTGTTTTTGCCACTAGCAACCTTGCAAAGGGGCGACCTCACTGGTGATAAATGTGTTTGTCATATGTTGTCGCTTTGTTAAACATATCAGCAAATCATCGTTTAGACGTGCTTCAAAACAGACATGCTCAATAAGTCGCCGTTGAATTAATATGCATGTTCGATATATGCCGTGATGTCATCTTGTATACTGGTAGGCAAAGGTCTATGTGTGAAGATATTGTCATTGAATGCAAATATACTGTCGAGTAATTTGAAGATGTTTGAAGACTACGCTCGTCAATGCTAGCTAACTTGCTAGCTATTTACTTTCAGCATTTCCTTTCATATGTTGTATACAGATATGTGTACACCATGCACAGTTGAATGAACATAGCTGGCACAACTCCCTCGTTTTGGTTTAGTCATCCTGTTCACTCACAAGGGGGTGATAGCGGAACGCCAAACAGTGTATTAAACATGTGTAGGTATCTCTGCTTTTCCTTGCAAACCTTCCAGAGCCACCAGGAGGGGCTTCTAGAATAGGTGCCCCAAAGATGTTTTCCATCCCTTGAAATGCAAAGCCAAAGAGGAGTGGTACCGTTGCCAGATCGCTGGAGGCGATCTCGGGCTTCAGCTGAAGAAATAACCGCTCACGAAGTGCCGGTTGGTCAGCGGGGTGTCCTCACCTGGCGGTTCAAGACCCATGAAGTTGATGTTTTCTTTGGACATACCAAAAGCGCAAACCTGTTCAAAGATGTGAATCCTTGCAAACAGTTGGGGTTCCTTAAGCATCCATTTAAGAGAGAGTTTCTCGCCCCTTTGTGTGTCTGACTTGAATGCATTCAAAAAAGGTTTGCATGCGCCATGAAGGTGGATGTTCACTTGCCCAGTGGAGACGGTGTCTCGATAAGACTCTCACCGAAAAGGCCCATCAGCGAGCTGAAGGCTGCAGCGCAGCAGCATTTCCAGCGCCGCTTAAAGCTTATTGCGGAAGGCCGGGAGCTCCATTTAACTGCCGCACTTAGTGAGGCCGGGTTGCGAGATGGGGACGTGGTGGCGGCGGTCGTGCACCTTGGCAAGTTGGCTGTTACTGATTTTGCCTTCGCTTGGGATGGCCCCGAGGGCAAGGTTCTTACCTGGGGTGAACCAAAATCTGGCGGAGACAGCAGCCAGGTGCAAGAGCAGCTGAGGAACGTCCAGCAAATCCAATCAGCTACCGGTGGTCCTTGTGCTTTTGCCGCCATTCTTGAATCTGGGACTGTTGTCACGTGGGGTGATCCAGCAGCTGGCGGAGACAGCAGCCTGGTGCAAGAGCAGCTGAGGAACGTCCAGTGCATCCAAGCAACTTACTATGCTTTTGCCGCCATTCTTGAATCTGGGGCTGCTGTGACTTGGGGTCTTTCAGAATTTGGCGGAGACAGCAGCCTGGTGCAGGCGCAGCTCAGAAACATCCAGTGCATCCAAGCAACCGACTATGCTTTTGCTGCCATTCTTGACTCCGGGGCTGTTGTGACCTGGGGTGATCCAGAATCTGGCGGAGACAGCAGTGAGGTGCAAGAGCAGCTGAGGAACGTCCAGTGCATCCAAACAACTGGCATTGGTTCTTTTGCTGCAATTCTTGGATCCGGGGCTGTTGTGACCTGGGGTCATCCAGAATACGGCGGAGACAGCAGCCAGGTGCAAGAGCAGCTGAGGAACGTCCAGCACATACAAGCAACTCACGGTGCTTTTGCCGCCATGCTTGAATCTGGGGCTGTTGTCACCTGGGGTGATCCAGAAGCTGGCGGAGTCAGCAGCCAGGTGCAAGCGCAGCTCAGAAATGTCCAGTGCATCCAAGCATCCCACTATGCTTTTGCTGCCATTCTTGACTCCGGGGCTGTTGTGACCTGGGGTGATCCAGAACATGGCGGAGACAGCAGTGAGGTGCAAGAGCAGCTGAGGAACGTCCAGTGCATCCAAGCAAGCAGCGGTGCCTTTGCTGCCATTCTTGAATCTGGGACTGTTGTCACCTGGGGTGATCCAGCAGCTGGCGGAGACAGCAGCCTGGTGCAAGAGCAGCTGAGGAACGTCCAGTGCATCCAAGCAACTTACTATGCTTTTGCCGCCATTCTTGAATCTGGGGCTGCTGTGACTTGGGGTCTTTCAGAATTTGGCGGAGACAGCAGCCTGGTGCAGGCGCAGCTCAGAAACATCCAGTGCATCCAAGCAAGCAGCCGTGCCTTTGCTGCAATTCTTGGATCCGGGGCTGTTGTGACCTGGGGTGATCCAGCAGCTGGCGGAGACAGCAGCGAGGTGCAAGAGCACTTGAGCTTGTAATTGGGTGCTAATGTTACATGGACGGCGCACATCTGAGGAACTTTGAGCTTGCTGAGGCGAGGAAGCATCAGGTGAACGGTGAACTCCACCGCGGGATTCGGCATCCAAAGTGTTGCTTAGAGTTACGGTGTGGGGCAACGCCACCAGCGCAGGTGCGAAGACAAACACCATGAAAGCAAGAGCTGAGCAACTGCGAATATTTACCATTACATACTTTAGCCAAGAGGAGTTTAGTGGAATATCAAAAGGAAAGCAACCATTCTTGGGATCCGCTGAAGCCCAACCTTGCACACTTGCGAGTTTTCCATGAGAAGATTGGGGCAGTGTTGAATGGCTGGTTTCGACGTAGTTAGCGGTCTGCATTTTACAAGGCACGGGGACGCATTTGGGTCACCCTCAAACGTGGTTGGTGGAGAGAAAGGCCTGTGAGAGGGAAATTGTCCGAAACAGGGATTCCATTTTAGGTGCCATGCTTTGTTCAGCCTTTTTTACCCTCATGCCTACCCATGGTCGAGGGCCCCTCTTGGGGAATCCACAAAAAAGGCAGCCAAGGAACCCAACTGTATGATGGGCCGAATGAACTTTTTCATAGGAAGTACCCGCCAGACAGAACAGCCGGAAGCTCCCGAACCAAACTGGAAGACTTGGTTCCATTTGCATCGGCGGATTGGGGGAGCTTCCGGCTGTCTATCTGAGGGAGTGGGTCAATAGTCAAGCCTAAAATGCCAACAAACCATGGTTTCCCATGGCTTCAACTTGGAGCGAACGGATTTCGTCCATCCACAGTATGTGCATTGGCCCCCCAACCAGGAGATCTGCTTTTAAGTGGTAGTTTCCATTTAAGCCACTAAGATTTAAACTTTTAGCGGGGGATCCAAAAAAGGGCGGCCCAAAGATCTCTTGGTTGAACATGGTCCATGTGTAGCACCTGCACCACTTGGAAACGAGAAATCATGGTTTGTTGGTATTACGTTGGGGAAGCAAATCATTCCAGAGTTTGATGATCTGATGGGAGGTGCGTTGCATGGATTTCGCAACCATCCACAGTATCACCACCTCAAAACAGGTTGCGGTGCTCCTCCCTCAGTCAGGGAAGGACCTCAGCATGGGTAAAACCAGCCTCGCAATTCCCAGGCTGGAGATCTCGCCCGCGGAGGGCCAGCACCTTTGGGTCAAGGAGCGCGAGCCTCGGTGACTTTCGACTTGGGATGTGCCCACGGAGTGCTCGAAGCAGATCTCTGCTGAAATGTCGACCTTGGAGCTGAGAGGATTGGCTTCCTGGTTTGCCTAAACCCGGCCCTTTTCATCGAAACGCAAAAGAACCAATGCAAGCCGCCCTTGAAATGTCGACCCTTGGAGCTGAGAACTGGGACTTTTTTCGGAACACAAAAATATTGGGGGAAAAACCTTCGGGGTGACACTTTGGTTCAATTACGCACCTATCCACAAGCGTGTCGAAACTCTCGAGCCTGGCGTGCCGCAGGTCAGCGGCCAGTTTTGACTGGGGTTCCTGTGAGCTGAACTTCTCAACTCGATCGAAGAGTGTTTGCTTGCTTGATCGCCTGCCTGCTTGCGTGCCTGCTTATTACCTGAACCCTTCCCTCGCACAATGGCTCCAAGCATAAGCTGGAGATGTAAGGACAAGGTTCCGACAGGTACCATGACACACCACCAACTTTGGGCCAGCATCTCACAGCTTAGTTCGCGGTATATAAACGAAGGATGCCTCAGAAATCAACTTAAGCAACCAACCGAACCTACTGTGGATGGACGAAATCCTGCACCACCCAAGAACCCCTAGAATGATGATTCCCCTGTAAATACCAACAAACGTTATGGTTTCAACCATGGTTTCCAAGTGGTGCGAATTGGATTGCGTCCAACCGAACGTATGTGTGCATGCTAGCTCCTTTTGGGCTTCGCGACAAGCTGCACGAGCCGCTGCGGGGTGACCTGTCCTGCATCCCAGGCCTTGGTATTGGCTTTGGTGTTGCCACGAAATCACAGACCTCAACACAAGGTCCCCCAGTAGTGCCCTTTATCACCCCCTTTTTTGGAAGAGGGTTCCCCTATTGAAACAGAATACAGAGAAAAGGGTACCCTGATTCTAACCTCTCCACTGGAGGACCTAGAAAAAGTGAACATCATGGACGTCAAGCTGGTGATGTTGAAGCCGCTTCTTTCTGGCCGTTTTTTTTCCTTCATTTTTTTGTGCATCCCCACCCTGGCACCTGGCGCAGGGTTGCGCTGACGCCAAGTGATCTCTTCGCTGTTTGGTCGACGCGTTGGAGCTGAGGTGCTCAGTCTCATTCTTCAATCCTCACTGCATGTCGGAGCCTCGAATTGCAGACTGTCAGGATGTTTAAGATTACCAGTCGCAGGTTCCTTGCGGATTTTCACAGGGCCTTTTTGGCTGCTTTAAAGTCATTTTCTTGTGGGGTAAGTGAAATGGAGGAAACCCTGCTTCCTGCACAAACCAAGGGGCGGATGGTGCTCCCCCATGTTGAGACCAACTGTGGTACATTCCCCGACGATTCGGGCTAAGCCAGGCTATCAGCTTTGCCAGCACCTTTGCAGAGTTGCCCACAGGGTTGTATCTTGAGGCTCCGCAGTTTGTGTTGGGCGGATTTTTCTGGAAGAAAGAGATCCCCGCACAGGACAACACCGGCCACTGACCATTTTTTATGCGGGGACCGGCGAAGCGACTTGGGAATTAGCGCGAGGCTGCGTTCGTCTTCTTTACAGCTGGATGGTTGCCCCACAGGGTATCAACTTGGGTAAAATCAATCCGGGGCTCCGATCCGAAAAGCGACAGGCCAGCTCTGGGCTTCCCTATCATCCCGAAACAGGCCCACTTATGTCCGGCAGTTGTCCGACCATTGGAGGCGAACGGCTAGGACCAAAATGCGGTCACTTACCTGGATAAACTCCGAGTCTCCTTTCCGTGGGTAATACTGCACCAGAATGGATGAAACCCTATGTTTGATAAACCGCCTCCCAACTAACTGCAAGACTTTGTCCCTACCAACTTTGAAGGGGAGTTGGTCCATCGTTAGTCTATGAATCACTTGCCTCGCCCCTCGCCCTTCCGACGGACCGTCGGGCGGCGTTTGGGCGCCAGGCCACTGTCCATGCTGCGGCATGGGGAGCTGCTGCATGCAGCCGCGGAGGTGTGCGGACGGATTGCTGCAGGCGCGCTGAAGGCCTTAGAGGAGGGCGAGACGGCCATACTGCAGACATAGATGTCCTTTTTGGTTGGTTTGCTCAAAAAATAGAGGGCCCTGGTTTAGATGGGGGTTGTTCCATTTACCAGGGAAACCCATCATTTTTTTCCAAAAGGCCACCTATGACTGCGGATGGTTGCGAACTCCTCCTGGGCACCACGAGAAGGGGGTGTACCACCGTTTTTTCTTCCCCTGCGAATACCAACAATGTTTCAACGATGGTTTCAAATTCGTGCGAACAGGTTTCGTCCATGCACAGTATAGGTGTGCCGCAAGTTGAGTCCCCGGTTGGCCGGCTTGCAAGGGAAATCAAATAGAAAAACCATTTCTTGCGGTTCGACAATTTGAGACAAACCCATATTTTTGCCATGGTCAGAAGTCCGCCAGGAAAGGATGGTCATAAACCCCTGCTTACACAGTTCCTACCATGAGAGCCGTGACCGTGGCCATACAAGGAGACCATGGCACATATTGCAACAGGGATTGCAAAAACAGAATCCCAACGGATGAGAACTTTCTCTTCTGAAACATCTGTTGTTTGGATGTATTTGTTGCGGAACCTGCGTGCTCGCTGTAGGGTGTCGTACAGGGTAGGGTTTGAACTCTGACAGCCAAACAAACAGGCAAGAAAAACCACAATGAAAAAAAGAAAGAAAGCAAAACACAACACTTTGACATTGGCAATTTGGGACAACGTTGCATTTTCGGACGAAAAGCAAATAATGGAAATTCATTTTAGTGCACGTGTGAGACTTTTGTGTTTTTTGTGATTGGCTATCCTCCGCGTACTGTTCGACGATGCAACAAACACCTGCTGCAGCTAGACATACAGTGTCGTTGTTTAAGCAGTGGCTCAAAGGCACGTTTGTTTAGTCACACACACATTCAGCATCAATTGCATCTTGCGAAGATAAGTCAGCTATTGCAGCTGCAACTAGCGAAAACCTTCATCATCGATTGCATGCCCACAATTATATCAGTCCCAAGCGTGAGCTGATGCCTGACAATGACAACAGCACGAGTCGAACCACAGATTCAGATTCATTTTGGTACATATGGGAAGCCGTAGCCAGTATTACGCCTCAAGTTTTGGTGCATAATGGACTGAGCCAATGAAACAGCAGGAAATGTGTTGCTCACACATTTCAGGTGAAGGCTTCCTTCTGCTTGCCTCAGACTGGCAGAGACATGGCGCACATCACACAAGCAGGTTCGGCTACACACGTCCTGCGCTCACTTTGCGTTCTCTTAGGTGAAAGAGGGCTTGGAGATATAGCCTACACTTCCGAATCCAAACGTTCGAAACGACTTGGAGGCACCCTAGGACCACAGTTTACTCTGGGCTCCTCCGAAATTATGTTACATTGTAAGGTGTAGTTGTCATTCGCGTACCCCAGATTTGGGCCCGGTTCCCAACGAAAGATGGTCAACCCGGAAAAAGGGTTCCCTTGTTGTGGCTTTCGACTTGCTGGGCAACTTCCAGGGACCAAGTTTCATCGTGCCAGGGTTTTGGAGCAACCCTTGGCGTCTTCTTGATTTGAATACCTTGCTGGCCAAGCAGGGTTGGGCTTCCCAAGTTGCTGCGGTGCGGGCTACTTTCATCGCTTTACGTGTCAAGTCGACGTAATGTATCCATGGCGTGTCCTGGGGTAGCAATTGGGCAAACTTACCTTTTGGCAATATCCGAAATTTGAAATGTTAGTGCCATATTGAGACCACTTGATTCATTGAGGTCGACAAGGACATGTCACGGGATCCATTCATAAAGTGATGACGCAAGCCCCTATTGCGACTCTTGCGGTTCTGCACGTTGACGTGTAGTTGTTCTGACTTCCTTCCCCTTGAAACGAGCACATGTTCTTACTTGGGTTTGTCTCGAAACAGAGTGCCTGCAACAATGGAACCGAATGCCTCTTCACAGAAAACAACAACACCCAGGGAAAGAAGCGTACATATATATATATATGTATATATATATATATATGTATATGTACACATGTATTACATAAATATATATATATATATATGTCCATGTATTACATATATAGATATATAGATATACACGTATTACATATATATATATATATATATATCTACACATATTTGGGGGGATATCACGCCCTGAAATCCACGTCGAGGCGAGCTCTGCGTGACGGACTCGGAGGTGGCCCAATTCTGCCGCGCTCCAAGTTGGAGACCTGCGAGACCCTGTCAGATCGCCGCTGAGAGATGAGTCCGGGGATCCCAAAAAAGCCTCGAATGAGTGGCTTGGTGGAGTGAGTGATGAACATGTGCCGAACAACCAAGTCAACATGTTCACCCCCCCCCCCCCCCAAAAAAAACAACAACGAGGTTTTTGAGTGAAGATTTTGAGACCCCTCTTGGAACTGATCTAAGGCTCTAAGGGGGGCTAGCATGGGGTAGTAGGGGGTTGTGCTAAACAACCTAACTTAAGCTCTTATTGGTCTTATTTTCGCAGGAATGTGAAAGGGGACAAATACCCTCCTTCAAATCATGGAAGCTGCCATGAGGATTTAGGAGGGCTTTGGAGGCCCACCCCCTTTGAAGACGCGAAAGTGTGTCCACTTCCAGGATTGTTCCGGACCAACTGGTTTCCGCACTACGCTTCTTCCCACAAGCATAGTATGCGTGAGAGGTACTGGGAAGATCAGGTTCCTCTTGCACCCCGTTAATGTCAGACCGAAAACAGGACACCTCCCCAAAAAGGCACTCAACAGGAGCCCATTGGCCCCAAAACCATGCCTTCTTCCTGGCTATCGGCTCCTGCAAGATCTTGTGATGACAACATGATGTGAGAAAGATGGGTGCACCATCTCACGTTGTTGTCGGGAAACATTTTACATTTTTGCGTATTGTGTATTGTGGTTCAGTGGGAAACCCCCACTTGACTGCTAAAAAGTAAATCCTTGCTCCCCTTCCAAGGTGAACCAAGATCTTGGGAAGGACTGGAGGTCGGAGGCCCGGACCTCGCCTCGCCGCACGCCAGATCTCTTCGACCAGTTCCAGCAGGCGCTGGACGTCGCTAGCCGAGAGCCAGCAACTCAGAGCGGACTTTGGGCTGCACGACTTAGAACGTGTCAACCTCGTCGCTTGGGCCAACTAAAAAAACCGAGGTTCCTGTGGTGAAGGAAAAGGAGCCCTGTACCATTCAATTTCCCAGACCTCCAATGGCTTGCTTCCTTTGTTTTGTTTCTGGGAGGCGGCGAACAGGGTGTGTGTTCTCATAGGATCCCGGGAAGAGCCATAGAGCGCTGGGCGCTGAGTTCTCGGCTATGATTATTTCCGTCAAAGGGAAAAAAGTAAGCCAGCAGTTACGGAGGCAGGCCACATTTCATATGATTCGCAACCTCACCCGCCGGAGCTGAAAGTGCAGCACGGGTCCCTAAAGGTTGGCTCCCCCTGGTTACCATACAGAGAAATATGGGGTTAGGGGTTAGTCATGTGAGGGTTACTAACCACTCCTTAAGTAGCCGATCGCCTTCTTAAGTGATCGGCTGTGTTAGGACCTATCATCTTGACTGCTATTGGGTTTGACCTTTAGACTTAAACTTTTTGGGAAGCAGCCACAAAAAGTGAAGCTTTATTGCGAGGGACCAACTTTCAAGTCAAGTCGCAGTATTGGCCAGCAAGGTTATGCCCCGCCTCAGGCAGGGAGGCCGAAAATTCGCCAGTGGCCGGGCACTCAGAGAGTGGGGGTCGCATGGGCGGGGCAGAGAACGCTTTTTTTGCTGGAGGATCGCTTGTTTTCGGTTGGGCAACTATTGTAAACTCAGCAGAATATGCCACTCCAACCGAAACGGTTTGAACTTTTCAAGAGGTCTCTGAAAGAATGTGTTGAAGGATGGCCCGGGAAAAAACACCGATTTTGGAGAGGCGTCTGTTATTTGATTATCAGATATTTGCGAACAATATCCCTCCAAGAAATCTACAAGGGGGTGAGTCTTGCGCCGCACTAGTCACTAGGACCAACCAGCCGGCTAAGGAGTTTGTTCACAAATTGATGTCAGCTGAGTCTCTTCTCCTGCTGCAGCAGCGTAACATCGCAGAGCTGGGAAAGTGCTCATATATGGCAGTCCCTTTTGGGACGCTTGCCCTTTGCCAATCCTTGGTTTCCCGCTTTTTGTGATACCAAGCAAATCGCGACAAATTGTCATGGGAATGGACGACCCACTTTGGTATAGCAGAAAGCCATGTTCACATTTTGAACACTATTTATTTTGGCAAGGACTCAGCCTGGCTGAGGCAAAACGCAACTCGCTTTCGACGCACCCCCAGGGCAGTTTTTGCAGCGATGCGTATAACTCATGGAGTCAAGGTGTGTTGGCAAGCCGGAAGAAGCAGTTTCGAGTGCGGTGAGATGGATAAGGCCAGCATTCCCCGCTTCTTGATCTTCGAGTGCGATGTAGGATGTGTTTTTTCAGCAAGGCATCTTAATAGTTTTCGCAACCCTCATGTTTAGAGTCCACCTTGCACTAGTGAATCGGGACGGGACCGTGGCAAGACCAGGTTCACGTTGGTCCGGTTCGGGCTTGCCAGTTGTGAAGTCAGGGGGCCTGAAGAAGGTGCTGGTCAGACAGCTTGTTGATCTGTAAGTTCGGTTCCGGGACGGCAAATATGTTCGAAATGCTTGGATAAATGGTGGAAACCTATGGCAGGGAATTGGTCAGGGCACACCACTTCCAGAAGAGGAGAGATATTGTCGTCAGAACTGCACTGGGGTCAAAACCATTGCGTCTTTCTGGCCAGCAACACGACGTCTCACTTGTGAGATTGATTGATGAGACGCAGCTGCTATGCTTTCCTTGCTTTTTATTTGATCTATTGAACAAAAAACTGTGAGACTGATTCGGATTCGGGGGCGGGGGGGCAAACACTTCGAGGTATGCAGATGGCGCGGTTGTCTTTGTATGGCTTGGTACGTTCTGCGGGCCGGAATCGGCGGCCTTGCCTTTGCAACTTGAGAGACGAAATCGAAAGAGGCTCCTAGTTGAGGCCGATCTTTTGTTGATTTTTGTTTTGTTTTGGTTGTTGTTGCTGCTGCTGCTGCTGCTGCTGTTGTTGCTGTTGTTGTTGTTGTTGTTGTTGTTGTTGTTGTTGTTGTTGTTGTTGTTGTTGTTGTTGTTGGCTCAACGGGGGGGGGGGGGTTTGCCCGGGATTTCAGCAGCGCAACATACTGTAAAACGCAGCACGTCGGACATGTGACTTCCACTTCGTCCCATTTTTACCAGGACGTTTGGCTGTCGGCAGAGTCGAAATTATACCTGCGTTCGTTGTCTTGTCATCAGTGCATTGGCAGCCTTGTGACACACGATGCCTTGGCACATACCACGGCAGATGGGTGCGCGACGTGCTGTAAAACGCAGCAAGTATTACACATATCACTGGGCATTTGCGTGTCTTCGCAGATAATGACTGCGCTTTTGTTTCGCATCTTCATGTCAGCAGGATGTTATTAGTCGCACGTCGGGCATCATTTTTACAAACATTGCGCGCGCGACTTGAAAATCACGGGCAAACCCCCCTGTTTTTTTTGCAAAAGCCTTCAAGTGCACCCGCTACCAACTGGTAAGCGCACCCGTTGAAGTGCACCCGCTCAGAACTGTATCCAAGCCCACCAACTGGTAAGCACACCCGTTGAAGTGCACCCGCTCAGATCTGTATCCAAGCCCACCAACTGGTAAGAACACCCATTCAAGTGCACCCGCTCAGAACTGTATCCAAGCCCACCAACTGGTAAGCGCACCCGTTGAAGTGCACCCGCTCAGATCTGTATCCAAGCCCACCAACTGCTAAGCACACCCGTTGAAGTGCACCCGCTCAGAACTGAATCCAAGCCCACCAACTGGTAAGCACACCCGTTCAAGTGCGCCCGCTCAGAACTGTATCCAAGCCCACCAACTGGTAAGCACACCCGTTCAAGTGCACCCGCTCAGAACTGTATCCAAGCCCACCAACTGGTATGCACACCCGCTCAGGTGCACCCGCTCAGAACTGTATCCAAGCCCACCAAATGGTAAGCGCACCCGTTGAAGTGCACCCGCTGACCCGCTCAGAACTGTATCCAAGCCAACCAACTCGTAAGCACACCCGTTCAAGTGCGCCCGCTCAGAACTGTATCCAAGCCCACCAACTGGTAAGCACACCCGTTCAAGCGCACCCGCTCAGAACTGTATCTGAGTCCACCAACTGGTAAGCACACCCGTTCAAGTGCACCCGCTCAGAACTGTATCCAAGCCCACCAACTGGTAAGCACACCCGTTGAAGTGCACCCGCCCAGAACTGTATCCAAGCCCACGAACTGGTAAGCACACCCGTTCAAGTGCACCCGCTCAGAACTGTATCCAAGCCCACCAACTGGTAAGCACACCCGTTCAAGCGCACCCGCTCAGACCTGTATCCAAGCCCACCAACTGTTCAAGTGCACCCGCTCAGAACTGTATCCAAGCCCACCAACTGGAAAGCACACCCGTTCAAGTGCACCCGCTCAGAACTGTATCCAAGCCCACTATCCAAGCCCATGAACTGGTAAGCACACCCGTTCAAGTGCACCCGCTCAGCACTGTATCCAAGCCCACCAACTGGTAAGCACACCCGTTCAAGTGCACCCGCTCAGAACTGTAAAGCCCACCAACTGGTAAGCACACCCGCAAAGTGCACCCGCTCAGAACTGCATGGTAAGCGCAAGTGCACCCGCTCACCCGCTCAGAACTGTATCCGTGGGCTTGGATACAGTTCTGAGCGGGTTCA